TAAGTGTTAGAAAGAGAAGAAAGTGTTCTTCATAAAACTTCAAGAAAGAGTTCTTAAAATTCCCAAATAAAATTCATAAATATTCCTATACAAGAAAACCGAGTCTTTTCTACTAGCGAAGGAAAGTCGTCGGAACCGGGCTTCATAGGGTGGATACGTTTAGAGGGAAGACACTTGGATTCCTCTAGCGAGTAACCTCAAGTCGTTGAAGTTACAACCGGGAACCGATTCCCTCATCCATCATCAATAGTGAAGGAGTTCAAGAAATTCGGTAAATATTTTTACTAGTATTTACTTTATAGTAACAAATCAAAATTTGTATATGATGCATGTTTTAAAGATGACGATCAGTTAATTTGCAATTAGTATGTACGGGTGTTGTATTTATACGATAAATACTTACTTTAAAAATTTTAAATTCCGCTGCGTACAGCCCGTACATTACTATCGAACCCAACATTTAGAACATCTCTTGGGGTGTTCAAGTTGTCAAAAAATCCTCGCCTCTGGGCAGGACGACTGGTTTGTTTCGAACATTCCTTGGGGTGGGCAAGTGTCAAGACCAAAGTCCCTCATATTTGGAACATCCCACGATAGGGGTGGGCGAGTGGTCACTTGTTTAGAACATTCCTTGGGGTGGGCAAGTGGTCGAAAAAGTCCTCGCCTCCGGGCAGGACGACTGCTTTGTTTCGAACATCCCTTGGGGTGGGCAAGTGTCAAGACCAAAGTCCCTCGTTTTTTAAACATCCCGCGATGGGGGTGGGCGAGTGGACGCTTGTTTAGAACATTCCTTGGGGTGGGAAAGTTGTCTAAAAAGTCCTCACCTCCGAGCAGGACGACTGCTTTGTTTCGAACATTCCTTGGGGTGGGCAAGTGTTAAGACCAAAGTCCACTCGTTTTTGGAACATCCCACGATAGGGGTGGGCGAGTAGTCACTTGTTTAGAACATTCCTTGGGTGGGCAAGTGGTCGAAAAAGTCCTCGCCTCCGGACAGGACGACTGCTTTGTTTCAAACATCCCTCGAGATGGGCAAGTGTGAAGACCAAAATCCACTTTTTTTTGGTACATCCCGTGATAGGAGTGGGCAAGTGTTCGATCCTAGTGTTGGGTAGGTGAAGACATAGAGCCTATTGGAGACTTTGGAGGCAGGTCGATGATCTACTTGGTTTCTATTTGGTTTCGATTTTATCATATTTATGTCTCTGACCTCAGTGGCAGGTCGATGAAGTTCGTTACGGATAGCTCAAGCAGGTTGATGGTTTTATTTGGTTTGGTTTTGTTTTTGACCTCAGTGGCAGGTCGATGAAGTTCGTTACGGATAGCTCGAGCAGGTTGATGGTACTATTTGGTTTCTATTTTGTCATATTTATGTCTCTGACCTCAGTGGCAGGTCGATGAAGTTCGTTACGGATAGCTCGAGCAGGTTGATGGTTTTACTTAGTGTGGTTTTGTTGTATTTATGTATTTGACCTCAGTGGCAGGTCGATGAAGTTCGTTACGGATAGCTCGAGCAGGTTGATGAAGTTCATTACGGATAGCTCGAGCAGTGATAGGTTGATGGTTTTATTTGGTTTGGTTTTGTTGTATTTATGTTTTTTACCTCAGTGGCGGGTCGATGAAGTTCAATACGGATAGCTCGAGCAGGTTGATGGTTTTATTTGGTTTGGTTTTTGTTGTATTTGTGTTTTTGACCTCAGTTGCAGGTTGATGGTTTTATTTGATTTGATTTTGTCGAATTCATTTTTCGACCTCATGGTAAGTCGAGTAAGTTCATTTCGAGCAAATCAGGGAGTTTATTAGCAGACCACGGTGTAGATCGATGATTTTTATCTGATTTGATTTTGTCGAATTTATTTTTTGACCTTAGTGGCAGATTGAAGAAATTCATTTTCGAGCAACTCAGGGAGTTTTATTTGCAGACCTCGGTGGTAGGTCGATGATCTTTATTTGATTTTGGTTATGTCGAATTTATTTTTCGAACTGAGAGGAAGGTCGAGGGAGTTACTTGGGACAGTTCACGGAGTCAGATTATTCAGGTCGATGGTTTTATTTGATTTGGTTTTGTCGAATTTGGTTTTCGAGAGGATAGACAGCAGGATTGAATTTTAAATTTTGAACTGAGGGGCGACAGGACGAGGTGGTCGAAAAGGTTTATATTCGAGCGAAGAGAGCTCGAACATTGTAATCGAAAAACAGCAAGACGTAAGTTCAAATTTTTAAATTCAAGACTTCGGGGGGCAGCCATTTGGTTTCTGACCTCATCGACAATCACTCGGTTTTCGATCGCATCGACGATCATTCGGTTCTCGGTCTTCGACCTTATCGGCGGTCACTCGATTTTCAATTTTCGACCTCATCGGTGGTTACTCGATTTTCGACCTCATCGGTGGTCATTCGGTTCTCGGTCTTCGACCTTATCGGCGGTCACTCAGTTTTCCATTTTTGACCTCATCGGTGGTCACTCAGTTTTCGACCTCATCAGTGGTCATTCGATTTTCGGTCTTCGACCTTATCGGCAGTCACTCGATTTTCGATCTTCCACCTCATTTGCGGTCACTCGGTTTTTGACCTCAGTGGTCATTCGATTTTAGGTTTTCGACCTCAGTGGTCAATTGGTTTTCAGTTTTCGACCTCATTGGCGGTCACTCGGTTTTCGCCTCAGCGGTCATTCAGTTTTCGATTTTCGACCTTAACGGCGGATCATTCGGTTTTCGACCTCAGCAGCCATTAGGCTTTCGGTGCTCGACCTCAGTGGCAGGTCATTCAGTTCTCGACTTCATTGACAGGTCATTTACTTTTCGACCTCAGTGGTCATTCCGTATTCATTTGGGTCACGATTCTCATTTAGAGGTTTGGTGACTTTTTGGTGATTGAAGATTTGTTCGAATTATAACCTCAGTGGCAAGATTACGAAAACAACTTGAAGAGGCATTTTACTCTTGGATCGAGTCATGCTTACTCGACCAGAGTAGGGGGGACTAGATGATATGAGATATTATATACTAGACCGATTTTTATAGATAAAGAGGGTAATATATTGAAGAATAAGCCTACACATGGGCTAGGACACGTGGTATGATGGTATTGGACAAGCCCAATTTGAGCCATAAGGTACACTCCCCCTATAAAAGGGGGCTAAGGTATCTCATTCTCCCATTCACTTTTCATTCATTACTACACACTCTCTCTCTCTCTCATTTACAAGGATTGACTTAGGCATCGGAGGCCCAACGCCGGTACCTCTCCCGGCGTTGGGTTCTTGCAGGTACGGAGGCCGTTCGAGTTGAAGGAGCCTCGGTGAAGTCCATTTCACCATTAGAGCTGATGACTGACCAGTTCGGTTTGGCTGCTTCTTTGGTCTAAGAGTGAAATGATTTATTCTTCAATTTTGGCATGATGGTTCCTTCCTTGCTTTCTCGAGCTCCATCCTTGCTCTGAAGTCATTACCTCGCTTTTATTCGGTCCTTTGTTGGGCTTTTTCCTTTTTGAATTTTGAATTTTGAATGGTTGCCACACGTCTGCACCTGTCTCGTCCAACCATCTTGTCGCCACGTGCCCGATTCAGTCCAATCGTCACTTTGCCTGGCATTTCGGAGTCCGTGCGGATCTTCTGCAGTGCGTCTCATTTACTACGAGACTGATCTTGTCCATCAGCCTTCACTTTAATACGACGATCAAATTTGACATGTCCTTTCACATATTGTTTTCGATTTGGACCATTGAACATGCCTTTGATCATGCAACTAAGATCAATCGACTCATTTGCTTCCCTTCTCCTTCCAATGTTAAAAGGATACCTTAACCCATTTTTCTAGGTTTCTCACTTCTACAAAAATTCTCACATATATTCTTGCTTTCACCCCACGTTCGAGGAGAGTTCAGTCTATTCCTGGATTTCCTGTTGCTCAATCCATCGCTGTCCATCAGAATCTTCACTTCCCTGCTACTTATCGACAATGATCCGTAAGTTTTCCCTTCTTTCCTGTTTTTTTTTAGATAACAACACAACTTACATTAACAAAGTCCCCTATTCAATTTTGTGCTACAATAAGTCAAAAAATTTCTAGAAGTACAAGAAAAATATCGTACGCTCGATGAATCATCTTTATACCCACCTGAACGAAAACTAAACAAAGATTGCAAAATCATAAGAGCCTCCTTTGTTATTTCCCCCCCTCCATGAAATCGGACTTAAACCATCCGCATCAATAGTACCAGTTACCACCATAAGGACAACTGGTTTCACAACTTTCTGCTCTGTATCATTTTCGTTCGCCCTCCATGATCTAAAGGTATAGGCGGATAACTCACATTGAGAACTTTAAACCTAATCTCATCTTCCCCATCTATCGGATAGTTTTCTCCCTCGTATTCCAAAACCCATTTAACACCACCATTAATGGTTGGCTCGAGTTCAGAGTGATTGTGACTTTTCAGGCAAGGGACATGTACATACATGTCCTCAAAAAATCCAAGTGACAATCGTAAACCATCCTTTGTCGATTCCATAAGTCGAGCAGATATAACCTCTCCCACAAACGGCCGAAACATTACTAGCCTGAATACCACCATGTGAGTGGAGGCGCCATTACTGGGAAATAGAAAACCACCTTTGATGGATTGAATATCGTACACGCTAATGCACAACCCTAGATTTTGAATAACCTTGTCTAAGAAGAGAGACTCGAGCTCTCTTCTAATGGCCTTGTCGATGGATAGGTTGAGGAGATGTGGGGGCAACCTCAGAGTGTGCTCTAATTTGCTGAGGAAAAACATCTCTTTTCAACTTGCCTCGCCGCTCGAAGTCGGAGTCACTATGTGTGTCGTGCTGCCACCTCACCGCTCCCCGCTCGCAGTCTCCACTGGCTCTTCTTTCACCGCTTGCAGTGCCGCCACCTCGATGCTCGTCGTGTTGCCGCCTCGCTGCCGCTACCGCTAGTTTGTTGAATTTTTCTGACGATAGCTGAGATACATGGAGCGGTTAACGGCTAGGGTTTGATTTTTTTTTTTTTTATTTTTTTTTTCTATCTGTTCACTTCTGCCTGCCCTTCCCATCTTCCCTGTTCTTAGTTGGCTTTTGCATGTTTGATTCACTTTTATTTTCTCATGAATTTTTTTATAAACTTCTTTTCTGATAGGCTAACACTTGTCTGCCATCTACCGCATTCCTCCGATTCTTAAATCTCCTTTTTTGATTTCCTTTTCCCCTTTTAAGATTCTGCAACCTACAATGAGGGTGACTGCAATTTCGGTCGCAATATGAGTTCTCCATCCTCCTCTGCTACCCTTAATCCACAATTTACTCATTTGAGTTCACCTTATGTGAAGGTCAAAATTGCCCCATCCTTTTCTCGAGCTGCTCCATCCTCGGTCACCTCCCGTCCTCCTCATCATCCTCTTCAACTTTGCGACGAGACTGAAGATGAGGAAGCCATCCTCCTCGCCAACCTGCCCCTTCAACCCGTAAAATTTCCATGGGTGTACCGATCCTTGGGCTACACACACTATGGCCCAAGATATGGTCACCGTGGCTCGACCACCATGCACTTTTCTGACTGCCAAGGCTTCATGGCTCGACAGTTTCTAAGCTCTATGATGTATGCCTGTAGATTGGCGCTATGTGTAGCCTCGACCCACAGATGCCTTTCACCAACCCCCAACCGGTTATTTTACCTTTTTTGAAGACCATATAAACTTAGGACTTAGGTCTTTTATTAGTCCTGCCCTTTTCGACCTCTACAATGTATTCAGGTTTCCCATAAATTAATTGTCGTCCAATTTCATCCGTCAATTAGTTATCTACGCCATCTTGTCCTACCACAGATTAGGCTGCATCGACCTCGACTTCTCCTACTATTATTTCATTGCCAAGGGCCAAAGAGTCATCTTATACCTGCAAGCTCGCGATGGGGCTCACTTTATAAACGATATGCTTTGTAATATTCCCAAGTGGAAAACTTGCTACTTTTTCGTTTGACCTGCGTGTCCTCTACCCCACGACCCGACCTGGCTAGAAACCTTCACCTGCTGGTTACCCTTACCGCCTCCTCGATCGAGCTTCGAGTCAACGAATGGAATAAATCCACAGTGATATGGGATATCGTACCTGAGGAGATAAACTGGTCAATTAGGCCAAGCGAGCCGCCTGGTCGAGCTAGGTCACAGTACAACCGGTGGTGGTCAAACATTATCGATTTAGGATAAAGAGCTTTCGACCTGGGAGACAGTGTAAGGGGTTCAGAGCAGCAAGATGAGCTAGGGTTCTCGGATGGCCTGATAGAAGCTCGATCTATATACTTGGCTGGTTGATAGATCGACCAGAAGGAACGACACGATCCAAGACAACCAATATTTACCAGGGAAGACCTCGAGCGGGTCACACCATCAAGTGGTCTAATAAAAAGGATTAAGAGACAAGAAGGAATAATGGCATAAGTAAATATTACACATGGCACTACTTGATTGGTCTACATACTGCAACTGCCTCTAACAGTGGTCAGTGCGGGTTGTACTATCGGGCAACTCAGACAACTTGGGCAGCCAGCTCACCATATCCGAGCAGCCTTCTAGAAACAGGTACCCCGTCCCTATAAATAGTGTTGTGACGTGCTATTTCTCATTCATTACGTTCTATATACTATACATTTTCTACAAATCATGTCCTACACATACTCATTTAAGCATCGGAGGCTCTTCACCGGAAAACCCCTCCGATGTAAGAGCTTTTGCAGGTCTAAGGCGTTCAACCGGCAAGGAAGCACGCGAGCAAGCCGATTCCAGCCGGTCGAGAGTCTTTGCATACCAAACAGTGTCTTCAGAAATCCTCCTTGATAACGAGCCACTTTTGTCTCATTCTGGCCTATCTCCTCGACGTTGTGCCCCTCTAACCCATGATCAAATTGGTACCCCGCACTTTTACGTTGTTGTGTGTGTTGATTGTTATTTTATGCTAATATCTCTTTTTCTTTGTTTATTGCGGAAGGACTGTTTAAACTAAAGGGGCCTCATTTCACTTCCAGCTCCAACGGGGAAAAAACTTGATCCCCTTCCAAATGAATGCTCCGGGTCCCCACCTAAGGAGCCCAGGAACTCTCGACCTAAGGAGCAAGTGACATGGGTCAGTATAAAACGACTACACGCCAAACAAGGGTCCCCACCAAAAACACATGTGTGCACCCATCGCGTCGAGGTGGTGACTCCTGAAGACGTCCCCTCCTTCGTCGACCTCCTGCCTCCTCAATTCGAGAAAATGCCCATCCCCCCACAATCACTCCGGTTGAGGCCATTCCATATTTTGACTCCAACTCCCAAGGGGCCGCAATCACTTCTTACCTCATGAAGTGCATTTCTATGACCGGGATCACTGGTGGGGGCCTGACCGAATAGGTCGAGCAGAATCTGCGGTTAAGAGTTTTGCGCAGGTACTACTCTTCCTCCTTGTGACTTAATCATGTTTTATACGTGTTTCTTTTTAGTTGTTATAATCTCTCTTTTACTCCCAGTTCCTTTGTGCCGGCGTGTCCATCCTCGACGAGAACGTCTGTAGTGCCCCATTCGTTTTATAAGAGTCGGCGTATTTTTATTTTAATTGCATTGCATTTATCTTTATTTTATTTGCTCGACTAAGTAAATGTTCGAATTTTAATCCGAATCCTTTAATCAAAAATTTGAATTAAACAGATGTCCTCGTCTATTTAATTTTCCTAATAATTTTACCCTAATCGAAAATTTTGATTAAGGAAATGTCCTCATCTTTTTAATTACTCTTGTAGCTTTCTTGTTTTTATTTATTTGCCTCAGCGTTTAATTGTCCTAAATGTTTATTTGTGTTTTGTGCTAAACGTATTATGTGTTCATATTAATTTTGTACCCAACTTCCTAAGTTTTTCAATAGTTGCCTAAGTATATATATGTGCAGCCCAAACCAAAATTCTATCACCTAAGCCTATCAGCCCCCAATCAATTCTCGGCCCAATGGCCCAAGCAACTCCCAACCCACTATTTCAGCGGCCCTAAAACCTAAGCCCTCAATTACTCCTTATTCTCAATTTTCACGCGTCGCTTACAGCAGAAATCTCTCGATCTGTGCGTGATCTCGTCTCTCTCCCTTCACGTCGGTTTTGATACGATCGGTTCCTTCAGAAAATCTCACCTCTACCCTGAGATCGACCACACCTCCATCCAGCGACCCTCCACCAGCCGTCGTCTCCTCCGACCATCGTCCGGTCGAGTTGTGGCCAACACCGTCTCGCTCGCAACCGGCCCTCTCCCGCCACAGCTCTCGAACCACCGCTAGCAAGCAGATGGCGATTGGAGCGGATTTCTGGCGAGAAGACGAACGGTGACCTGTCAACTCCGACCTCCGACCTCCAGCGACAGCGAGCCTCGATTTCACCTCTGAGCTCTGGCCTCGGGCCATCCGCCGGCAAGAGCACCAGGCCTCAACGACGGGATTTCCGGGAGAGCAGCACCAGTCCGGCGGGTTCCAGGCGCCTGAGATCGTGCAACCGAGAGCGGGAAAACGCCGGCGAAGAGCTTCAGTTCCTGACGGCTGAAGAGACCAAGCGCGGCTGTCGAAGGCTGACCCTTCGCGACGAGTCGAGCAGCCCTGCCAGCGGACGAGAGCAGACCAACAGCAGTCGGGATGCAAGAGCTTACAGCAGCGGGTTTCGAGCACCGCCTGACGAACAGAGAGGTCAGCTGAGAGCAGACGGGGCATGGTCGGGAGCAGCAGCAGGCCGGGCCATTTCCGAGAGTGCCCGAGAGCAGCCAGGAGGTTAATAAATTGAGCGTTCGGCAGCAGGGAAACGAGCCTCTTTTTCGGCTTTGTTTCGAGTCCCGAAAGAGGTAAAAAGGCTGACCTTAGATCGATCATATTGAGATTTGTTATTTTTGGGTTCGGCCTTTATGCGATTAATATGCTGAGAAGGTCCTTTGGATTGTGCTATTTTTCTACCCGGTTTGGACTGTGTTGTTTGAGGATGTTATATGCAAATTTTCCATGCATTCGGTTATGTATATCTTGGTGCTGAAACGTGTTGATCATACTGTTAGGTGTCGAGTTTCTGCCTAAATGCATTGTGTTTCATGCTTAGGAGTTAGTTTATATTGAGAGAGTTGAAGCTTGTTGTGTGGTATATATTGTGCCATGACTTTGCCCAACTTGCTGTGCTTTGTTGAGATGTTTATTTTGCTGGAAGTGAGCATTTTTCAGAGCATTTGAATCAGTTGTAAGGTATAGATATTCATGGATAAGTTTAAGAGAAAGAAGAAAATGAAGGGGCTTTATTGTGTATGATCTTGTGCATTAGTTTTGCTGAGTTTTGATACCTTTAGCATGCTGTAATTGTGACTTTTGCAGAAGTATAAAATCAATTATGTTCAGCCTGTTAAGTGCTATGATGCTTGAGAGAAAAAGGAAAGCTTTGTGTACATGGATGTATGTTGTGCTGTGATGTTTGTTTGGCCTCATTTATGAACTGATAATTGGTGTTCAGAGCCTCAAGTTATTAGTTATTATGATGTGATAAAATTTTGGTTCATGCATGAGAAAAAGAATAAGAAGAGATAAGGCTTTATTATTTGTTTTGTGTGCCTTGTTTGATTTCTTATTTGCTGAGCTTTTGTACTATATATTTCATACTGGTTTGTGAGTACGTAATATTTATGATATCAGTTCATAGGATCCTTGAATTGTTGATTCGAGCATGAGAAAAGAAAGAGGAAAGGAGAGGCTAGTATGTTGTTTTAGCCGTGTGCTTTGCCTGGTTAATTGTTATTCTTGTTTGTGTGTTATGCTTCTTGTTGTTGTGTGGTTTAATCAACCGAATCAAAACCCTTATTAATAATTAAATCCCTAATTTGTAGATTAAGAGGAGTCGAGCCATCGCCTTTGCTTGAATGTGCATTCACCATTATCAATTATCAGATGGGTGTTGATAAACCTTACCGTGTATGTTACCTTTTATAATTACTTGGCTCGATAATCAATGTATGCATGTAAACTGTTAGTCTATGAAAGGGTCTCATGTTGATGTTGTGCCAACGTTCTCCTAACTTTAGCCTGTAGAGAGGTTCTCCCGTTGATGTTGTGCCGACGGTTTAGATGTGATCACATGAGCGTAGGGCCGTTTAGGAGGTAGACTAGACGATTTGCTTACATGCTGCGATTATGATTTTAAGTCATTATATTGAATAGATTGCATGTTATTCCCACAACGAGCATGTTGGTCGCTCACTCCCACTATTTTCCTCCTTTTCATGTTAAACTGGTGGTCGTGGCAAAGGACGGACAAGTGGGGTCATTTATATGTTGTTTGTTATTATGCACTGTGTACTTGCTTCCGCTTATATTTATTATTTATTTCCAAAAACTTGTATATTGATTTTGAATAGGTTGAACTGGATACGTTTGGCTATGATTCGAGATTATGTCATTGATTTTCAGGATTTATTGTTCTGGCATAACTTATGATTCGAGATTGTGGATATTGGTTTATATCTCGTTTGATGTTATGTGTATGTTATTTAGCTTAAGTTGTGCCTTAAGCTATGTGAAAATGATTGTTTCATGTTGAGTAATGCCCGAAAAAAGGTTTTTAATTCGATAATGGATTTCGAAAAATTTATTCCTGTTTTTGAAAATTCGGTATTTTTCTTTTAAAAACAACGGGCGTTACAACGTCGGAGGCCGCAAACAAGGACTTAGTCCCTGAAGTGAAGTGGCTCAATAGACGCAAGGTCAAGTTGACATCCGAGTTGCCCAAGAGCGACCGTCGCCACAAGGATGAGATGAAGGCCAAGGAGGATGAGCTTGCGCAGGCCAAGGCTCGTCAAACGAAAGCTGAGGAGAAGCTAGACAAGGCAATCGATCAAGCTGTCACCTGAGGTCACCTAGAGGGTAGACAATTTTTCTTCTAGCTTGGTGAAGCCTTCCTCGACTCCTACCGGCAACAGGTCGTCGAAGACTTCTGCCGATCACCTTGATTCTTGGAGAAACTTGTTCCAGCGGTGCAAGATTATATGCAAATTTCCCTAAACGAGGTGTATGCACAGGTCGAGGCCCAAGGATTTACAGGCGAGGTCGACGTCGAGGCCATTGGTAAAAAGCTTCCCAATTGCCCCGTTGGTTTCGAGAGTGATCCATGTTTCCCTATATGGTGGAATGAGACCTTTGGGAAGTGTCTTCTCCGAGGTGGCCTTGTGGATAAAATTGTTCCTCTTCCCATAATGGTCCAGCCGATAACTCAGGTCACTCCTGAGGGAACCCAAGTGGTCATGGATGGTGCAGATTCTTTGACTAATCCGACAGGGGCGTCGAGCTCACACCCAACAGATGGCGAGGTCTCTCGAGCTAACACCTCCGACACTGATGCTAATGTTACTCCTTAGATGTTGTAATTTGTTCTACCACTGTTTTGAAACAATGACATTTTGTATCTTGCTAAATGGATTGCATGTTTGTGCCTAATGCTGATGTTCCTTTTGAAATGTTTGATTCTTGAAAATTTGACCAAGCGTAATTAACAGAAACTGTAACCAAGTGTCGCACCATGGTAAGTAATCCATTGCCCGAGCATGTCCAGTTTCATTACAAAATCCCCATGTTTAAGTGAGAACATAAACAATTATTCGACTTGCCACTGGGTCACCTCGATATAATATTCCTCACATTTACACCATTAGAGTATATTGTCTAATTAACCAGCTATTGCGATCATTCATCGTTACACCACATAACATGATTTTAAGTGTGTGTCAACACGACCTGCCACTGAGGTCTAAATTGTACTTCTTATTTGAAGGAGTAGTTGTTTACTCGACCCGCCACTGAGGCTATTGCGAAATTAGCTTTCTCTTTAAGCATTTCATATTCTCGACCTTTGGAATGGTGTTTAATTATTGTTCTTTCGATTGGGTGCACTGTATGTGATGTATGGGGTGTGGTTAATTAATTAGCATCTTTACCTTTTGAGGTCGATCCTCTTGGTGCCGGGTTAGGTTATACAAGTTACGGACAACTAAAAATTAAACCCCTTTGAGGGCGTACCGTTTAATATTTTTGTCGACTCTGAGACGTTTCTTATTTCTGCTATTGGAGATCGTCTGAAACTCAAAGTCCTTTAGGCTGCTGGACTAGGCCTTCACATCACCTTGGGCTCCACACCATGGTCACTGGCGGTTGTTAGTGGTCGCTAGTGCTCGGTGCTGCCCGGGTCTGCGCGTTGGTGTCTGAATGTGGCCGAGTCTGCTCGCGTCCCTGCGTGCTGCGCGTGCTGGGAGTGCCTGGTTCTTCCTAGAAGACCTATGTCTCCTTGGTTCTGCTCGCGGACGGCTGCATTGGACGCCTGGGTCGATCCCTGGAGCACTAGGACAGACGCGGATCCCACGCGGGTCACGCACATGCTAGTTGGGTTGTGCAAGTCGTTCGCGGGTCATCTGCGCACGTCTCCTAGGAGTTCGCTGGTCGGCGTGCTGTGCACACCTACAAGCTGGGAAGGTCGCGCGCGGGTCTCTGGGCACCTAGGAGCTGGAACGTGATTTGCACAGGCTGTGCAGTCTAGGACGGTGATGTACGCGGCCAGGCACGACTAAGCGCGGCTGGGCTGCGGCTATTCTCTCCAAGGTCACCGGTGGCCGTCTGACTTCCGTGGAACTTCTCCTAGATGTTTCCAATGGTTCACGGATGATCGGCGGCGACTACGGGGTTGTATATTTGCACTCAATCTACCTTGGATCATCTATTGTATGACCCGACATCCTCTCCGATAGTCTTGGTGGGCGACAAAATTGGTGATATCTCGATTGGGATTTCTAGAGAAAAAGAAGAGAAGTAGAGAGAACAAGAGAAAAGGGCGGCTCTTTTGTTTCACGTGTGATCTATATTCTCCCAACCCCAAGAAATGTAATGTATTTATAGGCTTAGGGGCCCTAAGGAGACATTAAATTGGGCTTCTTCTAGTAGGACTAGACTATAGGCGAATCCTACCAAGCATAATAAGAATAATGCAGTCATTCCACTAAACTAGTATTATTGAAATACTCCCGATTTAATTCTCAAATTACATTTGAGCTTGAACTCTAATTTACTTAATTAACCTCCCCATGTTTAAGATAAAATATTTGTTAATTAATTTAATTACTGACAAGTAAATTAATCGACTTCTTGAACCGAAGCTAGCATCGCTCATGTAAGTATTTGAAGTTTGGCATTAAGTCGACAAACTCAAGTGAAACTTGGAACCTAAATTGGATACTGGAGCCGTCTGAAACTCTAAAGGTAGTTTTTACTATGCTACTTTATTTTTATTCCCTGGTTTTATTTAATTGAATTTATTGATATGTATATTATTTGTGCAGGAGATTGAAAAGGATTCTACGAGATTCCTATTATTATTACCATGCTGAGGAACCAAAACGCGTTGGAGAACTTACTTTCTATAGCATCAGAGGACCGCATTGAAGAAATTACCTTATTAATGATAACTTACAAGTGAGTGAAGAAATCAAGAAGAGCAAGTCTTGGGATCTCAGATGTAGCTATTATGGGATTAAATATTGCAAGGGAAACATACCATGTGCATGAAGATATAAAAGACACTTGCATAAAGGCTTGGAACGCAGTTTTTCAGAGAGATTAATTTTATTTTATTGAGTGCGAAGTGTTCTTATAGAGGGGATCGGGGATTTATTTTTATTTTCGTGAGTGTGGAGACGAAACCTTGTTCTCGATCTCATTGAGCTTAAAAATATATTCATTTGATTTGTTAGCATAGGTGTACGGGAGGAACACTTAGAGAAACTTGAGGGATTCAAGTTAAAAAAATCCACAAGGGATTTGTGGTTAAAAAAATAGTGTGTGTAAATGATTACATT